CAGACCCAGGAAGTCGGCTGCGACCAGCAATTCCAGGCACAGCTCGACAGGAATGTCCATGTCAGGAACGTCCTCCCGCTCGCGGTAGCGGTACCAGTATTGGAAATACTCGCAGACTTTCTCAAGCACAACGCCACTGCCGAGAGAGAAGACGGTCAGACGTTTCCAGAACTTTTTGGACGAAAGGGAAACGAAAAGGAATGAGGATTAGCCTTGTGAAGTGGCTGGGAAACAAGTAGTGTGAGGAAAAAGAAAGAATGTTGCTTGTTTCAGATCAAGTGTAGTTGGGCAATCAAGCAGACCAGCCGTTGGAGCGGTGGTCTGTCAGTGAAACTCATCGATGAAATCGGAGTTCATCATGGCAACAGCCGTAGAGAAAGAGAGGTGGCAGTGAGAGCGCTGGGTTGTGCTGGCTTACCTGATCTCTTCAAACACGCAGCGACCCAGAGCAGCCTCACGGAAGTTGTTGCGCGTGTCCAACATGCCTTTGATGGCAGGGCTGATCATGGCGGCGTCCCGCAAGACGACAAACTCGTAGCCATCACTCGAGACCAGAGTCACGTACTTGCTGTCGGTTGTGCCGTTGGGATCCATGATTGCGGACGGGTGAGATATGCTGCGTGTTCCGTCTTCTGAGGGCTGAGCAGATAGACAGACTGCTGGAAGTTGGAATGGTGGCTTCCGTGTGTCGGAGTATCCGTGTCTCTGATTGTTTCGCAAGTCACGGCGGTGATGCTCGTGGCGAAATATGAGCCTTCGATGAAGGTCGACGACGCGTTCGTTGAAGACGGAAGCAAAAGACTGAAAAATTCACGTCGCGATTTTGAGGGAGGCGGTGGTGGGGTTGGAGCTTGGACCACCTCTCTCTCGTCCCGTAGTCCTGCCGGTGAAAGAAAGAGCACCGGAAAAACTCTGACGGGAGCTGTCCGCTTTCAGACTGCAGGGGGGACCTTCCTTGGCCAGGCCACAGCCAGGGGTTCGATTGATCCGCCTTAGCGCACTTTCGTCAGCTCCACTTTTGCGTTGTCGTTGTGGCTCCTCTGGCGCCTGCCGTCATCACCCCGGCAAGAAGTGGCTGGTTGCCCCGTCGACTTGTTTACAATTGCCCTCCTTGCTCCCGCTCCTTCTCCTCAAGAACACAGCACAACCCGCCCATCCACCTCGCACACAAACCCACCCCCATACAATACACCATCCCAAGCCAGACCAAGCACCTTTCCAACATTCCTCAACTTCAAAACGCCGCAACGTGCCAACGTCTCTTCCCCGTATCGCATGCCTCGCACTTAACCATATCTCAACGGCATTCGACTGAACACGGCAAGTAGCTGAACACGAAGCGAGGAGGCTCGTTTGAGGAGAAGCGGCGATATCAGTATCGGCAGTATTCCTCCATCGCAACAAGAAACAAGCAGCATACACACACAACCCGGGAAACATCGCATAAAAGCACAAACCACTCAAGTCTCCCCAACAACCCCCCCTTCCACCCCCAGACGAGCGCACGCACCGGCCCCCGGTATCTATCTTACCCATCATCACATCAACCCATCTCGCAAACACGCACGAGGGGCCACGCTGCGAATCGACCTCCCTCGTCATCGCATCACAGCACCTCAAACACAGCTCGAGCCTGCCGCATTATGGCGTCCTCATACCAATACCGCAACTCATACCACAACTCGTCTCAGAACATTAGCGAAAAGTACGACGACGGCCGCCCGGCCACTTCCCGCCGCAACACGCGCCTTAGGAGTAGCGACGGCACCGTCAGCACCACAATGAGCTCTTCAACAGGTCGCGAGAGCGCCGCAACCCACGTCACCGAAGGTCCTGCCTATTCCAAGAAGATTGTCGTCGTCGGCGACGGCGGCTGCGGCAAGACATGTCTCCTCATCAGTTACAGCCAAGGCTACTTTCCAGAGGTAAGCATCCAAGCAGAGAAAATAACCAACTCCTTTCGAGCGCAAGATTTTCGTCATTTGCGTGTTGCTGGGGAGCGAAATGAGCCAAAACAATGCTGACTCTGGCTACAACAGAAATACGTCCCCACTGTGTTCGAGAACTACATCACCTACCCAACGCACCCACCGTCCGGCAAGACGGTGGAATTGGCGCTATGGGACACGGCCGGCCAGGAGGAATACGACCGACTGCGACCGCTCTCTTACCCCGAGACCGACTTGATCTTTGTGTGTTTTGCGATTGACTGCCCAAACTCGCTTGAGAACGTCATGGACAAGGTAATTTAACCACCGCCCCTCAGATAACATGCCCCTCCTTTTTTGGGGCAACGCCATTTGACACTAATGCTAATTTCTTCTCCTACCAGTGGTATCCCGAAGTCCTCCACTTCTGCCCCTACACTCCTCTGGTCCTCGTGGGCCTCAAGTCCGATCTCCGCTTCAAGAAAACGTGCATCGACATGCTCAAGACACAGGGCCTCACGCCCGTGACCCAGGAGCAAGGCCGCGCTGTTGCTCGCAAGATGGGCGCCCAGTACGTAGAGTGCAGCAGCAAGGAGATGACTGGCGTGGACGAGATCTTTGAACAGGCCATCCTGACGGTCGTCGCCAATGATCGGAAAAATCAGGAAGCCCAAGCTGCCGCCTCCCCGTCAACACCCAGTGGTCCGCCTGGAAGCAGCGCAGGTTTCCCTGGCGTCGCTCTTAAGAAGAAGAAGAAGAGGAATTGCAAGATCCTGTGAGATTCCCACTGAGGACCTCAGGGTTGTAAGGAAGAGGCATTGGACACCGGCGGAGGGCGTAATGAATGACTTTTTGTTTTATCTGCATGATCTCGTCACGACCTGCTACTATTACGATCTGGAGAAAGCATGCGCCACCATTAGCGAAGGGGGGCGTCTCCTGCTCTAGGGCTGGATGAACTCTAGACCGGAGACGAAGTTTTCCCTCCACCAGGGATGTTGAGAGAGATTTTCTTCATGTTGTTTGATGAAGAAGAACGAATGGTATATAAGTGGGAAACGAAACAAAGGGAGTGGGAGGGAAAGTGAGTGGTTTTCTCATCCGAGTCTCTAGACTCATCCATACCCTTTATTTTTTACGCCAAACAAACACACACACACACACACACAAACGGAGCGGGTACAGGGGAGACTTTGATCAGTTTTTTTCTGTAACCATCAGGTAACCTCTTGGACCTTGAGGGGTAATTTTTCTTATTTTCTTATTTTCCTTTCTCTTTTTCCTCTCCTGTAGCAGCATGGGGTTTTCTGTCTTGATAGGGCATTCCTGAGGGATAGGAAACATGAAATGTTAAAAGCATCAAATCAATTGTTATGTTGTGCCCTGAATGTGATGTATGAGATGAAGTGAGTGAATGGGTAAATCAATATCGCCAAATCTGGCGAAACTACCTACGAAAGCTGCACAGAATTTTGAGTTTCCCAGTGCCGTGGTTCAGTAGTTCTTGAGAATCAATTCAGCTCGCAAGATCAAGTTGAGATGCAGTCCAAACGAGGCATCGGAGAAAGGTCCGATGAGAGACTGATATGAATCGGATTCTCTAGAATGGGATGCACTTTTCATCAATTCGACTACCAAACCCAAAACCCCAAATCCTGAAAAATTCCTCGACTCAACCGGTTTGCAATAAATTGACACCAGCCGATCGTTACGCACCATGGACTCTTCTGCCCAGGCACGCCAGGTTCTGATCGCCGATCTCCCGCGAGAAGGTGATCTCGCGCATCGCACCAACGACGGGCGACCCACCACACTGGTCCGAACCGAGAGCAACGTCGTTGGCGACCCAAACCCAAACCCAAACCCAATCTCAGGTCGAAGCCCAAGCCCAGATTTAAGCCTACATCCCGAACATTCCGAACCCGAGCTGCTATCATCCGTCGACGTCGCAAGTCTCTATGCGCAGGTTGCTAAACTCAACGACGCGCTCGCTGCGCTGGAAGATGAGGTGCGCAGAGAGCCTTATGTAAACTCGGAGAAGGAGTGCCGAGGCGCTGCGGGTGATGTTGAGCAGCTTCTCGCGAGTTTGGCGCAGCGCGCTGCCGAGAAGACGGGGCTGGAGAGGTGGTTCCCGTGTACAGGGCGGAAGAAGAGGGATTTGCTTAGGAGGCATGTCTGTGTTGTGCAGGAGACGTGCGGGACTGTTGGTATGACGCATCTGAGGGCCGCTGATGCGTTTGCTGGGCTTTGTGGGAGGGCGGATGGTCTGGGTGAGGATGGGGAGAGGTTGAGTCGGGTTGTTGGTGAGGCGAGAGATGGGTTTGAATGGGAGAGGGTGAGGTGGAAGGTGCTTGGGTGGCGGGAGGGGATTCTGAGGGATGAGTTGGAGGGGGTTGAGGCGCGGATGTCTGCTGTGAGCGGCGACAGCAGCAGTAGCGGGCTGGTTCCTGATGGGCACGGGGGCGGTATTGTTGATAATGCGGCTACGACTACGACAACTGAGCGAGAGGCCACCGTCGTCGAGATGCGATTTGAGACGGAGCAGCTGGCGACGCTGCCGTCGGAAACGGAAGACTACGCACATAACCCCGTGGAAGACGACCTTGGTAATCTTGTTGAGCAGCTCCAGCACATTGAAGACGACCGCGACGCGAGGAGCCCCGGAAACGAGAGGGACGAGGTCCGCTTGGAGATCATGGCAGCTTCACTCGAGTCGTTGTTTCTGGTGAAGCACGGAGATCTCAGCGCCGATTTGCAGAGACGGGTTGCAGCGCTGCGAGAGGGTGGAAATAGGTGTCTCGCCGTCGCTGAGAGGTTGGAGAAGCTTCGAGATTCGGATTACGGCGATTTGGTGGCTGGGCTGGGTGAGCTTGCGAAGAAGCCGGACGCGGAGAGCAGGCGCAAGGGTGTTGAGAAGGTTAAGGCGGCTGGGCGTTTGGGTGCTTCTTATCGCGGGATGACGACGGCTGAGTACCTTTTGATGAGATGAGCCCGGCAGTGTAGGGGTTGGCATCGTGTGTAGAAATAACGTCATCATTCATAGGAAAATAGGTATTTCGTTGCTGGTGGGTATCATGATCTCTGCTCGTTCTTCGTCTCGCCATCGCTGCCCTCCTCGGTATCGCCCTGCTTGTTTTCCTCGGGTTCTTTCGCCATTACGTTTTCGAACTGCGACCACAGCGCCTCGACGGAGGAGAACTCGTTTCCGACCTGTGATGTGGCGTCGACCGCCCCGAATTAGTGCTCGAATCTCTTGACGGCCGGCGTATTCGTAAAGGAGAGAGAGGAAGGCTGCTTACCGTAATGACTGCCTCAAGCGAACGGTTCAGCTTATTGATGTTGGCGAGGACTTGCTCAAAGTTCTGGATTTCCCCGTCAGCATTCTCCTGTTGTTTGTTTTTGTTGATGCTCGTCGCTTCGGCGAACAAGAGGCCGACTGGGGGAGGGCTTTACCATTGCGATTTCGCCAATGAGTTCTTCGCGCTGCTGCTCAAAGTAGGTCTTTTCCCTCGTACCCGATTGGGATTGCGAGTGGGAAAAGGTCCGCTGATGTGACGACATGTTGTTTGTTGGTGGCTCGGTGTCTTTGGAGGGTTGAGGAAGAGGTCGCGCGTCGCGTTGTGAGGAATTGGAGTTTTGGCGGTGATGGCGGGGTTTGGATGGAAGGTCACTGCGGTGGGGTTGTTTTTACAGTTTCTTGTGTGGGTATGACACTGTACGCAACACTGTGGGTGTCTCCAAGTATTGTTGATCCATGTAGCGTACATTTCTCACTCTTCACGTATTGCCATGTTATAAAGGTAGTGAAATTTAGATCAAAAGATGATTATATGTATGGACGATGCCCTAGACCACAGGGAAAGAGGAAGCCTGTATCCATGCCAAAATGTTCCAGCAAATGACCGTGAGGAAGGGTATCAAAAAAGGGTATCATAAACGAAAGCCAGAAGAGAGTCCGTATCCCATCATCCGCCATAACCAACCTGTCTGCTGTACCCTTTGATCAGACGCTCTCTCTGGGCTTTACCGGCGAAGCCCCCATGACACTAATGGCATCATCATCAATGGGCTTCGCCTGGAACGTCGACGCACTCTTGTCCACAGCGATACCTGTCTGCCCCCCGGCTCCCGATACCTCCCTTCCGTCACGCAGCTCCCAGCTCCCCTGGCGCTCGTGTCGCACTCCGCGCCCAGAGACAGCCAGGTCCGGGTCGCTAGCCATCTTCTCCGCGGCCTTGAAGCCTCCGAGCCCGGCAATCCGGCCATTGCCGTCCTTTCCTCCTGCTCCGCCTCCGGCACGATGAATCCGGAAACCGCCGAGAACAGCCGCCGAGACAACAACCAGCCCCAACACAGCGAGGACGATGATGGCGCCAATGATGCCCGCGACAACGGGCTTCTGCACGGCCGAACGAATGGCCTCGCCGACGGTCGGCGTCGTCTTCGTGGTCTGCCAGTCGCAGAACGACTGGATCGAGCCGCAGATGCTGCACCACGTCGCCGTGTCGATGCCGAACTTGGCCATCTCCTGCTTGAAGTAGCTGTACGTCACGCGGGTGTCGCCCTCGGCGAGGCCGAAGAGGGGATACTCCAAGAAGGGGGTGCCCGGCTCGGCGTTCTCGCGGTAGAGGAAGCGGACGTAGAGGTTCTCCTCGGTCGGGTAGGTGTCTGGCTCGTTGGGCTGGTCGCCGACGAGCTCGAAGACCATGGCGGCACCGTTTTCGGGGAGGCTCCAGAAGGGCGTCGTGGAGAGCGTCTGGTTCGGCTTCTGGAGCCCTGCGAGGGAGAAGAAGGAGAGGAAGGGCTCCTGGGAGCTGAAGAGGAGGGTCAGCTTGTTGGAGTAGCCGGCGAAATTGCCGTTAGCCTCGAGGGCGTCGACGACTCTGCGCGCAAAGGTCCGGCCGGCGATGGTGCGGATCATGTCTCCCTTTTGGAGGCCCGAGACGGCTTGGTTGGAGGTCATGTTGAGCTGCTGGAGGCGGGCGTACATTTCGAGGAACTCGATGCGCTGGGCGTACACGTCTTGGAGACCGTCGTAGACGGCCTGCTCGTGGGAGTAGCGGTAGCGGACGTAGTCGTAGATGTCGTAGGCGTTCCAAAAGTTCACATGTGCGAGGGAGATGTCGCCGTCGTTTAGTGGCGGCGTGCTGAAGAGGGATGTGTAACCGGGGCGGGAGGCTTGCTCGAGGGCCTGCATGTACGGGTCGAGCTGCATGACATACGTTGTCGAGATCTTCCACTGCGGGCATTCCGTGTTGCCCCGAACACTTTACGATGGCAAGTCAGTTCGGTCTCAAGGGACATACTATGGTTAATGGAACTTACTCAATCGACCTATCGTCAGACAGCCCCAGCGTCTCAATGATAGGATATTGGTAACCGCCCAGGGGATACTGCGTGGTGTTTCCAGAGATTGTCGAGTACGAGATGTTCGTCCCGCCAGTATCGGCCGCAAAGGCCTGCGTGATGGGCGGGTAGAGGCCCTGCATGAAGGCAGCAGCGCCGGCTGCGATGTGGGCATCGGGGAGGGAGAGGATCGAGAGCTGCTCATGCTCATACACGTTGCGCGCAATTCCCTTGATCGCGGCGCGGGTCGTGATGCGACCCTCGGAGGTGTTTGTGGGTGTTCCGCTGGCCAGGTAGCGACTTCTAAAGGCATTTCCCTGGGCGTACATCTCCTGAGCACCCAAAGGAGTCAGGGTATCTTGGAGCCCGCTGCGCACCGGCGTGCGCTCACCGTGCATGATCATTGCGACGGACGCCCATACTGAAGGAGTCGAGGGCGCGGCCGAGGTCGCTGCGATCAGGGTCCCAATGAGGACAATCAGGGATAGGGTAGACATGACGGGCGAGAAGCCTGGGTTGCGTGTCATACGGTTGCAAGATTTGGGTGATTGAACTTGCAGTACGGGCTTACACAGGCAACAGAAAGCTCGAGGCAACGGAGAGATCAATCCGATACAGACGAACGGCTGCTCGGTACAGAGAATGGAGGGGAGAGCTCGGCTTAAAAGAACATGACCAGACCACCAGTCTAGAGGCAGAGGAGAGCTTGGAAGGACCGGAGCATGCAAGGCTCGCATGCAGCAAGGCGGCGGCGGGAAGCTAGCTGGGCTTACACCATCTTCACCTCAGAGGGGAACATGAGTGACAGCTTCTCACCGCATGTCGCCTCGATAAGCCATCGAGTGTCTTTCCTTCCTTCCTTCCCCCAAGACGCTTGTCTCGGAGGGGTGATGTAGGCAGTACATGACGTGCTTGAGGCCCAGAGCGACAGAACGAGTCAGGGTACAAGGCCGGACATGGCAGACGGGCGGCATTGTCTTTCTTGGCTACCGTTGCGACTCCAACAGATGGGTGGTCGACGATGGCGGTGGTGACGGATGGGGCCGACGCGGGATGGCGTGGAAAGCGCAGCAAGGATCTACAATGTCTGCATGCTAGCAGAGTGGAGATGGCGGCACATGGCTGACTCTCAAGTAGGCCGAGCCAAGTGAGTTGTCCAAATCAGGGAGAGGTGAAGGAAGTTGGAGGCAGTCGAGGTGATAAGGTGAGAGACTGAGAGAGTTGTGAACGGAGAGCCGAACTCAAGAGGCCAAGGTGCGGGGTGACTGCATGGCGCGATTGAGCTCCAAGCTACGTTATCAGCTATCCTCGATAGCTCCGGCCAATGATGGAGCAAGCCACTCATGCACTTGACGCTTGGAAGAGAAAAGGCGAGAGGGCGCGATGGGATGCCGCAATCGGCTGCATCGGCCAGAAGAAGCTGGTTGCAGCGGCCGTTTTTAACGTGCGGTAGCGACGATCAGGCGGGGGAATTGGGCTGGATTGAGACTGTCTGACATGATTGCCTTGCTCGTTCATTGCTCTTACGCGACATGTCTTGGGTTTCTAGACGATGATCTGTAATTTGCCAACCAACATAAGGTAGTCAAGGCAGTCGAGACTGGGGCAGAAGAGTATGCGTATGACCCGACAACCTGGGTCTAGATGCCGCGAGAAACTAGAACAGTCCACATCAACGATCCGTTCTGCTTAGTCTGGAAAGATGAAGATGAAGAAGGTATCTGGGGTGGCTGGGAGCAGGCGATGGGGGCAGTAGGCGTGCTGTTTAGCTTCCAGCATCAGTTCGTGCTATCAGCCACCCCCGGTCAAGTCTGTCCAATGGGCTTACACCAAAGTGTTCACATGCCTCGTCGACAAGGGACGGATAAGGAACTCTTTGGAGATGGTCCAGTAAGCTTAAAGTCTCTCGAGGCACCTTAGTCCAGCCGGGCGTCGTGGGCTAAAAGTTCGAATCTCAGACATCCAGCAAAGAACGGATCGAGTCGAGATCTGCGGTGAAGCCAGTGGCTTTGAGGAGCAAACGGAGTGCGGGTACGTAAGGCAAGTCAGGTAGTCGAGATGAGGACGGAAGAAGTGTGCACAGTGAACTGAAGACGAAGAAGAGGACTGAGGAGAACATAGCTGGTGGTTCAATCATGCAGCTGGCCACAGCTGGGCACAGCTATGAATCCTTCTTTCGCCAGCTGTGAACCCACGATGTCTTATCTTATCATCAAGGCGGTATTATCTTATCTATATCTTATCTACATCTTATCCCAGTGTCCCAAAAGGTTTACAGCGAACTCTCCAAGTCAACCAAGTCCTTGAGCACCGCATCCTTTTCTCCCTCAAACTTTGCGCTCGCAACGAGGCCAAGCGGCCGCCTGCTCCGTCCACCACCATACCCGAAGTACCTATCCAGCGCAGCCTTCAACCCGGCAACGCCCAGCTGTACCAGCACCCAGTCCGCCCGGCTCAGCTTCGTCTGCAACTCGGTCGCCTCCTTGAGCTTGCCGGCATCGTACAGCTCCAGCAGCTTGACGTGCACCTTGGGCGTGAAGTTGGCAGCCGCCGCGATGACGCCGTTGGAGCCCGCCACGAGCCCGTGCAGGAAAAAGTCCGACTTGCCCGCGAACGCGGCGAAAGGCTGAGGGACGCGCTCGTCGTGTGCTACGCGGTGCAGCTTGCCGAGGTTGCCGCAGGTGAGCTTGCAGCCCACGACTTTGGGGTTCGAGGCCGCCAGGTCGGCGATGAGGTCTGAGTCGAGGTCGATGCCCGATGTCACGGCGGGGAAGTTGTATAGGAGGATGGGGATGGGCGATGCCGTTGCGACGTCGTCAAAGAACTTTTGGATCACGGGCTTTTGCATCGCACCGGCTATAATTATTCACAGAGCGGGTCAGTAATCTACACATTCGGATGTTCATCTTTGACGGCTTAGTGGCCCAAGAAAACTCACTCCAGTAACTCGGCGAAAGGACGAGAGCGTAGTCTGCCCCCGACTCCTTGGCTTCGGTGCAGAGCTGGATGGTTTCCCGTGTGCTCTGCGCGCCGCAGCCGGCAATGATGACGGCCTCGGGCTTCCCGTGTTGCTTGAGCACCTCGGCCGCCGTTGCGATGACCTGCTGTCTCTCCGAGTGGAGCAGATGCGGCGCCTCTCCGTTGGATCCCTGGATGACCAAGCCAGCCACGCCCGACTTAGCGAGCCGCGTAATGTGCGTCTTTAGAGCTTCAAT